ACACACACACACACACACACACACACACACACACACACACACACACACACACACACACACACACACACACACACACACACACAGAGACAGAAACCCATAGACACACTGAGCTGCTGTCATGAAAGTTATAACTCAAGTGGGTTTACTGCAGTTGTAAATGCAACACAGCTGCAAAAAAGAAGAAACAACTTTAAAGGAAATGTATTAATCAAGATTTTCACTTCCTGTGAAAGTGCTCTGAAATGAGCTGCGCTAAAGAACCTTCTTGACTTTGTTTATGTGTGTGTACACAGTCAGTAGTGTGAGTTTCTGAGCAGGTGTGGAGCAGTGTTTATTCTGAGCCCACAGCAGGAGTTGCAATCTGAAATTACTCCTTTTATTTTCAAAGAATTCAAGCAAGGATAATTCTCCTGGACTGATAACCAGCTGCCATAACATCTCTACCTCACCGATCAACTGGATTTATCTCAGATGTCACAGGAAAAAGTTATGAAAAGATGAAAAGGGAAGAGGACTGGTCGCAAAGGAGAATGTGTGTGTGTCATAAAAGGGTAGTAAAAGCAGAGGGTTTGAGTTTCTGCAAGATAATCAGCCTTTCATTTGTTTTGTTTTTTTTATGCATCACTGGCAGCTGTTCCTCAAACACAACGCTAAAGAAATAGTGTCCAAAACAATCATGATCAACTCAGAAAATGACAGAAAGCAAAAGAGGAAAGTAACAGATGATTGTGCATGACATAAATTGACGTGTGCTTATTTTATTTCATTTCAGACTTAAATGCATGATAAATGTCTGTTTTTACAAACACACACACATTGTTACGTCCCCCACAGGAGATGTTAAAATGTGAAGGAGGGGGTAACATAAGAAATGCGACAGTGGAGTTAAAATGGGTTTAATTGTTATAAAAGGCTCTAAAAACAAGTGCAAACAGATGGCGAGCATTATTAAGATAATGCAAGACAAAACAAAAACTCAAAAACATTAAAAGAGCAGTTACCAACATTAAAAACACCTGGTTAAAACTTATTAAAAGTTTCACCAAAACAGGTGTTTCAAAATCCACAAAGTTGATAAAAGTTCTGAAACAATCTATTGATATAAAACACCTGGTTAAACTTTTTGTTAAAAGTTTTACCGGAACAGAAGGCGTTTTAAAACCAAAGTCAATAAAATTGCATCACCAAGTTAACACACATACACTGACACAGGGAGAGGAGAGAGAGAGAGAGAGAGAGAGAGAGAGAGAGAGAGAGAGAGAGAGAGAGAGAGAGAGAGAGAGAGAGAGAGAGAGAGAGAGAGAGAGAGAGAGAGATTCTCCAACCTGCTGTGGCTCGACAGGTCTGACGCTCTCTGGCGTGTGTTCACACATGCATCAGAACCTTGACCGGCAGAAAAAGGGGAAATCAAGTGATGCTAAAGTTAACGTATAAATGCATAAATAAAAACCCAACATATCTCTGAAAATTCCAGATTTTTCAATACACCTCTAATTTCCCACATGAAGATTTCACCTGAAGATAGCTGACAGGTAGGACATAAATTACATGACTGAATTTTTGGGCAATCCAGCCAAACAAAGACGTGCACATACACGTGCACTTGTTGCTATATCTGCAGCCTTTCTTTGCATTTTTCCCTTTGACATATTATACACTGGGCTGCCCTGCCAAGTTTCTTCCTTTGATCATGTGGTGTGTGTTGCATTTTTAACACGTATCAAATAAATACAAGTGTTCTAAAGAAAAGGTCAACAGAAAAGTAAATGAAAAAAAGTCGATAATATGCAACTTAAAATGGACAAACTTTCTTTCATTAACAAGGAAACAAGAACATATTTTATCTTGGCATAAAAGACAAACTTACTTCAGAACTTTACTTGAAAGATTTTTCTCAGTTTTTACAGAAAATAACGCAGAATCCTGAGCCAGATCATCCATCCATCCATCCATCTTCAGAACCCGCTTTGTCCACGTGGGGTCGGGGGTGGAGGTGTGGTGGTGGGGGGTGGGGGGGTGGGGGGGGTGGTGCCTATCTCCAGCAGTCAACCCCACGGGCAAGTAGGCGGGGTACACCCTGGACAGAGAGCCAGTCCATCGCAGGGCAACCCAGAGACACACGGGACAAACATTCATGCACACACACACTTAAGGACAATTTAGACAGACCAATTAACCTAACAGTCATGTTTTTGGACTGTGGGAGGAAGCCGGAGTACCTGGAGAGAACCCACGCATACACAAGGAGAACATGCAAACTCCATGCAGAAAGATCGATCCCAGCACCTTCTTGCTGCAAGGCAACAGCTCTAACCACTGCGCCACTGCACAGCCCTTGAGCCATATCACTATTTTTAAGAGTCAGATCACATCCTCTTTCCTGCACAAAAGTGAACAAATAGTGTTGTTCATGTACGTTTTACCGATATTAACGCCAAGCAGATTTTTATTTGTCTCATCCTCAATCTCAGAATAGCAAAGTTTACTCTTTATGCTGAGTCATGGTACTGAAACCATTCATCAATCACAGATCTTTCCTGAGGATAAAAATAAAAGTTGTACAAAAACAACAAACACACACACACACACACACACACACACACACACACACACACACACACACATATATCTAACTATGTTTTTGCAAGGAAAAATGTAGGCCGTCAAGTCAGCTGAGAGCTGTCAGGTTAGCGAGACCTGCTTGAGCACATGAATCGTGTTCCTGCATGGTCGGGCAAAACCTTCAGGACTTTTAAGTTTCACATGTTTCTTTGGCAACGTTTGCTGCGTTTCTCCTGTGTAAATTCACAGGTTGTGCAATAACAGCATAAGTGTCAGGTGGCACATCCCTGAATCAGCAAAACCTTTTTTTATTCAAACTTTTGACAAAATGAAGTTTTGGTGTTTAAGCACTACTTATATTATTATTTTAACTCTAAAAAGGAACGTTTAAATTTTCTAAACCATTCTTGGGTTAGACAACAGCAACAGGCTTCTTGTCTTCGATTAAGATACCGACTCATCTGAAGGCGAGGATTCAAGTAGAAATCCTGAAGATGGGATTGAAACAGTCGTTCATTAAATCAGAAAGATATTTTTACCCTTTTTTAAATCAGCCAACAACAGAAGCTCAGATAAATAGACAGGAAGAGCCCACATTCCCTGGGTTTGGTGTATCATTCCTCCTAGGTCGTTTCAGTCAGAACTTGCAGACTTCTTGTTTTGCAATTTTCAACTTTGTTGCCTTAAGCAAGTTGCTGAATAATTACGTACAATATGCATGCACCCAGAGAATAAACATGCACCTGCCATCTCACACACATCATTCTCATGTTTAGGGTAGAAATAAGCAGCCAGTTCAATGATTTTCTGTGACAGAATCACTCAGCCGAAGGATGAAAGCCAGACCTAACACTAGAAGGTCATGACCTGGTTTATGTCTATGATGACTCAACATGCACAGCAAACATGAACATGCTCTGGAGTTTCAGATATGGAAACATCACTTATTGTTTCAGTAGCAGTTGCTTTTTGTGGTGCATCAACACTGAACCAGTCACCCTCCTGTAAAGAGTGGAATATTAGCTCTATTACATTGTTGTTAATGACCACCGAGTCACATTTTATGGCTTGTAGAGCACTGCAGAGATTCAGTGGTATTATCACAACAGTTATTATCATAATACAACAAACTGATCAATGTAAAAATGAGACTCTGTGTTTCTCATTAAGGTTTTGTCAAACAAAAATCATGCACAAACAAAATAAAAGATGCGTGCATGTTTTTTTTTCAAAAACTGCATTCCCATGTGATTGTCTGTAACACTATAACACGTATAAGTGCCAAATTTCCATCAGAAAACTAATAAAATTGTTTTACTCTTGTGTTATTCTAAAATACACTAGTAAAAAAAATCAAATGTCAAGAAAGCTTTTACTCCCTTTTTTCTTTTTCTGTCAAACACCCAAACAAGCTTCATTTTCAAATTCATTGCAGCTTTTAGATGCAAATCATGCGATAAACAGATCTCTACTGTGTGTGCTTATGGGTGCATTTATCTTTGATCAAAATAATTCACGATCTACAAACTTAAACATAAATGTATTCTTTGCTGAGCTTTGATTTATGACACGGCCCACCTTATAAAAACAAAGCGTCTACAAAGGTCCGTCACCGTTCATAAAGCGTGATTTAGGCTGCACGGATTGGTCCAAATTGTGCGACATCCACGAACTCGTGACAAAAACGGCACTTCCGATTTAATATTTCAAAATAAGATTCTGAACTAGTAAACGTCTCAATGTGTTACTAGTTTTTTTAATTTAGGTTTTTTTCATGTTCTTTTTTCCTCTTAGACATGCCTTAATCCACTGCTGTAATTGTAGGTGCACTTGTTTAAAAATTTACAAAATAAATGTTTATGTATTTAGCAGATGTGAAGTATTGAAAATATTTTTATTTAAAAGGTACCCTGTGGTAAACTAATACAATTCCATTTCTAAAAACAAAATTTGATTAGTTAATCATTTCGAATTGGATCAAGTATTATTATTTTCCTTTAAAACTGATGGCAAAAATCTTTGGAAAATCTTCAAACTTTTATGGAATATCTGGACTAGATTTTCAAATTACGCTACACACTATCATGTAAGGAGAATTTACACAAGTAGCGAGTAAATTAATAATGACAGAAAAAGAAGACAATCAAAATGGGACAATCTAATCAAATCAATAATGTGTTAAATACCCAAATATACAAAAACGTGTACAAATCGAAAACGACATTTCCCTTTCTCTTTCTTTCCTTCTTTGCTCCCTTCATATTGATTTATTCGTTTTTTGTATTTAGTGGGATTGGAAGGATTTTGCCCTGCGTGTCAAGTGAACACCATGAACACTCATCAGAATTAACGTTGTGACCATAGACTGTACTTAGTTGTGACACTATCTTATTTTGAAAAATCTTCGGGTTTCCGCTCTTATCCGGGTAACCAACGGACGATTGACGCGCCACTGCTGTGTGGTGAAAACTCATTCGTCCCCTTGACGAGTCATCGCCAGAGAAGAGCCCTCAGCCCGGAGCGGACGGAGCCGCTGTCTGATAGCAACAAAACGGGGGAAATCAGTTATGCACAGCGGATTTATCTCGTTAGATAGACCTGAAGGGAGCATACCGACGGCCTCAGAAGCGGACTGGACACCGACGCGGATTGGGATGTTGCATGTTTGAGCGAGGCTGTTGCTTGTTGGGGTCTGGACCCGAACACAGAAAGTAGTACCACCGTTACCTCAGCGAGCGAACTTGGCACCTCTGTGCGGTGGGAGGTGTCTGTCTGTCGGCATTGGCTTCCCTAACGTACCGCTGCCCCCGTTGCTTGGAACCTTGTTTCAAATGGTTGTAGAGTTTTTTTTAATAATTAGCTTATTTTCGTGTGTTTTGGGGAAACCCACTGTGGCTTTAATGTGACGCACCAAATTAGATGTTTGCACCACAGACGATCTCCGCTGCCTGCAGAGGACTTTAAAGGCTCGTTTGTCAAGTTTTTTCTTCGTTTTGCTCTTCCAGCGGTGCCAACACAGCCCACACCAATGTGAGAGGTAATGGTTCGTTTTTGTTTATATTGTACGTTTTTATCCAAGTCGTAGAGTTAGCAGCCTAGTCTCGTTTTCTGGGATCTCCAACACAAGCAGCAGTGAACCAGTGCCAGTTTGCCACTGGTTCAGGACGTTTGCCCTCAGTCTTCCAGCTGTTATCAACTCACTCATTCTGATTTGAGCCGAATGTTTTCACACATCTCAAAGATGCACCAGACACCGCATCAGGCCACCCAATAACTTACTGTTAGATTTAGTGTATCATTTAAAATGTAAAGGGCAGTCCAGCATGCTTTTTGAATTGTTCTTATCACAAATGAGAAATTGGTCTTGACTCTCAAAGTCCTCAGTTACATTTGTTTAAAGGACGGAGTTTTTTCCAGCAGAGGGCCAGATGCTCTTCTAAAATAAAGTGTCAATCATTAATATTTAAAATGTCTTTGCTTTCCATCTAAACTCTTTTTATTGTGGTTTTAGTTGTGTTTGGAGAACGTAAAAAACGTTGATATTTGAGACACGAATTTTGCTGCGAAACTTCTAATCCCCCAAATGAGGAGCATTAAGGCCCAAAAGGTTGGGGGCCAGGGGCCCGCCGGGCCCTCAGTTAAGGTTCACTGATCAAGTTGGACTTTTTTCTGCTAAAATTATTATGCAGACTGCCAGCAGTGCAATGTATTGATATGAAATGTATTCATATGGTCTAACATTGTTAAATGTCTTTTGTAGGACAGTAGTGAGGAAGTTATCTTTGTAATAAACTTAAGAATTTAGTAACATATTGTTGCATATGAACCTAAATAGTTATTGTTGCCTCTAGGGCTGCACAATATATAGTTATCGCGATATTAGCAATATACTTATTGCAAAGAACAGATAAATATCGCAATGCTCAAATGTTTGCTACACTTAATGCATTCTGTCAATCATACGGAAGCATGATGTATTTTAACAAATCAAATAGAGCTCTTCACCCATTTGGCCAATTGTGTGGGTTCTCATAGGTTAGACGCCCGTTCCCGAGGCGGACGGCACTTCATTTTGATGGTTAGCAAACACCTGAGTTAGCTTTGTTCTGCTCTTTCTGCTGATTCTGCTTTTCCCGGGATCCACTGATTACCTTTACTTGTTCATTTTCTTTTTCCCTTTCGTCACTTCTTTTCCTTTTTCCATTGTTATGATTTTTGTCTTTTTTTATTTCTTTGTTTTAGATTTTTGTCCCTGAATTAAGTTGTTGTTTATCGCAGGTGATATCATTGCAATATTAATCACTGTTATCGCATATCGAAGGTTTTCCTAATATCGTGCAGCCCTAGTTGCCTATCATGAAATCAAAAGTCATGTATTTCATCTGATGGTTTTATGGTCTGCCTTGCGTAGTTTGTTTATGCTACTTGCAAATACAAAATCTTCATCAGATCTTGCAGCTCAGTTTTACTGTTGTGAAATCGCCACAGTGGCCATGTTTTTGTAGCTGCATGTCAGAGCTTCAATATGAAGTCATATGTTGTCGGGAGCGTCTCGTGAATGATTCAGGATCATCGTTGGCCCACATTAAACAGCGAGCAGCATCCACACAGGGCTGTTTTGGCCTGATGCGCAGATGAATCAGGCACAGAGAGTGCGGCTGCTCATTGAAAATGTTGAATTACACTGGCTGTTTTGTGACACTTCATTGAGAACAGCTCTGTCATTCATAAGATCATCTGTCTCCTCCTATCTAACAGAATTACCTCACTGTACATTCTGGAGGTATTCTCAACAGAATGGTGCACACCTGGGATTTGAGACATCTGCTCGAATAAATGACTTTTATCCTCAAGGGCAGCCTGCACAATCTGTGGTGCCATGTCACGCTAATTTAAAACCTGTTTGCTACACGTGCAGCAGAACTGCACACATGGCTGCACAGGGAAACACAAACAAGAATGTCTGATTGTACCTGGTGGCCTTAAGGGGCTATGGTCGTTTCAGTGATAACCGATTACTTTTATACTCTTAAGTAAGATAACTTAAAGTTTGCAGTTGAGGCCAGATGGATACAAACCATAACTCTTTAGATGAATACACACTTACTCAGCTTTTTTGTATAGATGGTAAAACTCTCAAAAAACAAAACTGAACACACGTTCTGGAAATTTCTGACAGTACACACCAAGCCAGCTGCTGTCGGCTCTTCTGTGTTAGCGATAAGACCAGAAGTTATCAGCAGGCTGTTATGTAAGTCAAAGTCAGTAAGCATCTTGCCTGTAATTTAATATGCTGAGTAATGTAGTGAGCACTGTCCTCGCTTATGCATTTAGTATCTGTGCAGTAACTCCTCTGACCCCCCCATGTTAAGCTGCTGAACTGCCACCAAGTACCCTAACCTTGAGGTCAGCCAGACTGCCATGTCTTTGGGCTAAATTTGGAACACGGTGCAATTAGGCTCACACTAGACTGCATCGCATTGAGTACAGAGCCTGGACTTGAATGCAAATCTTGGATCTTTATAGATCTTTATTTGGCAAGCATGGGATGGTGAATCAAGGGTTCACAATAGTTCAGCTCTCTTTGAGCAAATATTTAATGGAAAGAACATCTAAATGAGAGAAATTTGGCCATCACCAACCCATCACCACCTTGTCTCAGTCATAAGCAGTCTCACAGCTTGTACAGCATGTTCTACCATCTATTTTGGCCGATAGTCCAGAATCCGTTGGCATCCTGTGAGCTATATCAGTTGTAGAGTCATACAAACCATCAACTTATTCTTTACAGTGTGTGTGTTTTCATTTTCAGAGACAAGAACTCAAGCAGACCTAGCTGGGTCTGGTTAGGCCAGCCTAGCCTTCCGTCTGGCTCTACCGGACAGACCAACAACTCCTCCTTGCATTTCAACAGACCGGAACACACTTCCAATTCCAAATCCCCTCACTCATTCTGGGAGACCATATTGGTCGGATCACGCTCCAGTCCTTCCATGCTGTGGTGGTCCCTGTCTGGATGTTGGCAGCAGGATGGATCCAGGTGTTAATCTGACCAGTGGTAGCTCACTGCAGTGCTTGCAACACTCCTCCTTGGATTACTCTCTGTCCCTCCCGTCCTCAATCTCGAAGCCCCTTCCTCACACCTGGGGCACCCCCCGGACATGTATGGAAGGGCCCTATAGGAACTGTAACTTGTCTTGTTAAAACAGCTGCCATTGCTCAAAGGAAGCACTGTTAATAGGTCCTTGCAAACTTTAAAACGGAACAAGGGTTTCAACCCCATTGCCTTTTGTTTGAGAGCTTCTCACTTCAGAGGGGAGCCGAAACGTTGTGGTCTGTTTCCACTTCTAAAGGTTACACATTCACATTGAAATATCTTTATTTATATGTCCACATTTTCTAATTTTGGGGTCTGCACCTTGTGGAAGAATGTCTGAAAGCAGCAGCAAAGCAGTGAAATTTATTGCCCCTGCACCCCCTGCATCCTACAACTCCCCCTGTCCATCACCTCAAACCTCCCACAAGAATGTGAATGGCTCTGCCAGTTCAGACACGCATGTCGTGGAGAAGCTCGACGAACAGCCCGTGGTGCGGCGGCGGCGCCACACAATGGACAGGGACTCCAAAACAGCTGAGCACCGTTTCTTCCGCCGCAGTGTTATTTGTGACTCAAACGCTACAGCCTTGGACCTGCCCAGCAAGGCAGCAGTGATACTCACCTCACCTCCAGACTGTGGAGGAACTCCCGCCTTCTTGTCTCCACATCGATATGGGCCAGAGGAGTATGACTCTGATGGTGAGGAGGGCAGAAGAGGGCCCTGTCTACAAAGTACCAGCCTCCCGCCTTACCTAAGCCTTGGTGGGACATTTGCATCAGGGCACATACAAAGTGCTGGGGTGGATTTAGAGGCCAGTGTCATCACTATTGTTGTTCCCACCATCAGGAAAGCTGATAATAGTGCAGACAAGACAAAAGAACCCATCCCGACAGCATTGGATGTTGCAGACAATACCATTCACAGCAAACCTGATGTGACATTGCATCCCAGAGGAATCCAAGATTCACAACAGGCACCAAAAGACGGGAAAGTGATTGAACCTGTGATAGAGGAGAGCATTAGTAGTCCCACGGAGGAGAAAGACAGGGAGACAGAAGAAGGGAAGGGTGTTGCAAAGGCTCGAGCCGAGCAGAGGGAAGTTGATAAACGATTACAAGAGGATACAGAGGAGGCTGAGACCAGAGCTGTGGGGACTTCACCAGATGGACGCTTCCTGAAGTTCGACATCGAGATCGGAAGAGGGTCTTTTAAGACGGTCTACAAGGGACTTGATACTGAAACTACAGTGGAAGTGGCATGGTGTGAGCTACAGGTAAGTCCAGTACCAGAACACTCTTACGTCATGCCTTACCATGTATCTAATCCAACATCAGCTGTGAACCTGACTTCTTTCTTTCTTTCTTTCTTTCTTTCTTTCTTTCTTTCTTTCTTTCTTTCTTTCTTTCTTTCTTTCTTTCTTTCTTTCTTTCTTTCTTTCTTTCTTTCTTTCTTTCTCTCTCTCTCTCTCTCTCTCTCTCTCTCTCTCTCTCTCTCTCTCTTTCTCTTTCTCTTTCTCTTTCTCTTTCTCTTTCTCTCTCTCTCTCTCTTTCTCTCTTTCTTTCTCTCTTTCTTTCTCTCTTTCTCTCTCTTTTATGTGTTTTTATTTTGATAAACTAATTTGCTTCAGAGAACTTCCTGCCTACCCAGATAGTTTTCTGTAAGTGGCTTATGTGATCTGAGAACTTCCTGGTTAGGACAGATTAAAACTGCAGATTGGTGTTTTAAAAAATTTAGTAGACTTCTAGTGCTTTTCTGTAGCTCAAACACTTCTTTTTCTCTGACTCATGCTTTACTGTCACTTTCGCAAACGTGCTTTCTGGTGCACATGGTTGCTTTTACGCCGTGTGTGAACGGATAATGTGGTGAAACGGATAACCACCACCATGAGTTGCACAATGCCTATTGAATGTAAGAGGATGCCAAACGGCTGCGGCCTAAACGTTGGTGGCTTTGAGTTCCTGATGATGTCAGTTTGATGAGTTGGTAATTAAATGTCATAAATATGGCTGTTTGACATCTCTAAAATACTGGGCGTAGACAGGTAAGCTCTTTTGATGTTTAAAAGTAAACAAGAATCCTAAAAACAAGATGGCATACACTGTATTGTTACTTCATTAAAATGCCCTGAAGCAACTTCTGCAGCAAGTGTGTTTTTGTTAGAGAAAGTGAGGCTTCAAGAGAGAAGAGTTGACATAAGGTGGAGTGCAATATTTCTTTAATTAGTGGCAAGCGAAGGGAGAATCAGAAAACAAAAATATATTTTTGAGGTTGTGTAGAAGTAGGCGCAGAGCCAGGAGTGCGTTCATCAGCTGGAGATGTAGAATAACAGTTTCTGCTAGTCATATGACATGACTGAGCTGGGGAAGAAAAACACTGACAGAGACTCACGTGGAACTGCTCAGTCAGATGAAACACTTGTTGCTATGCCAAAGAAACAAATATTCTGGATTTAACAAGTGCATTGCAGTGCATGTGGGAAATGTTCAGGCATTAGCGGCCAAACATGCAATTCCTAAACATGCTTCTTTATGCTGTTTCACTCGGCTTTATGGCAGATTTAGTTCCAACCAGAGATGGCCCGAAGAGGTCGGGCCGTATGGATAAAGAGGTTATTTTTATAACTTCTTTTTCAGGAGCATGTGGTTGTTTTTCTGTCATCTCCAGCAAAAGAAGCTTCTCGGGTCTAACTGGATCCCAGAGACTGAAGTGAGCTTTGTCTGATGCCCTGCTTCTAGGAGACGGTGGTTTGTGTCAGGAAACAAGCGTCCTGCCTTGGCTGAGCGTTCCTGTCACACGTTCTTCATTTTCTTTCTCTCTGTTAGTTTGGAGAACGTTTTAACATGATGATGCTTGACTGTACAGTGCATTATGAAGGTCTTTATTGCCTGACATATTTTATTTAATATATACTATTGTTGATGATGGATCTTTAGTGCCTGAAAGCACTTTACTGCTTTTATTTTTTTGTATTTGTGTTTCAAAGGAGCCAGAATTATCTGATCGGTCACTCTGAGTTTAACACGCAGGCTGAACACGAAAATGGTCTCCTTCACCTGTCTCCTGCATTAGCTTCTGAAAAAAATAGATGATGAAACTGTACGATCAGAAAGTCCTGACTGATCTATGTCGCACTGTCACTTAACATTTATGGACTCCTCCATCTTGACTCACGACGGGGAAAGCTGTTATTGGTTTAGCTTCTAGCAAACAACAAAGAACGACTCGCCTAGTAGAAGCTAACTGTTAGCATTAGCAACTCCACCACATGGCAGATCTCCTCCAGGCTTGTTATTTTTGGTTGTAAAACATCAACATTGCAGAACAAACAAACTCAGTGGTAGAGTCACGTGAAGCGAGATGTCCAAATACCAGAAAATAAGACTCAAACCCCACTGTATGAAGCTCTCCTCTGATCTGGCAATCTTCTAGTTCCTGAAACTGGCGCACCAGAGCTTTTTTTCCCCCAGGGTACAACTCACAAAGCATTCATTCCTACTAGAGGCCACTGCAGATGTATTAAAAATGGGAGTGAAGAACCTGTTAATTAACAATCCAGCATTTTCCCCAAAGATATCCAAAAAAAAAAATCTTAAATAATACATTTTTACTGATTTTCACATTTAGCCAACAATTTTGCATGTTTTAACTGAGTTTGCAGTGTTTGTCTAATTCAATTCAATTCAAGTTTATGTATATAGAGCTCCGGGAGTTGACGTCACTTCTCCCGGTATGCAACAGTTCAAACTGAACGACGCCATCTTGGCAGGCAGAAGCCCACTGCTGGGCTATTTGTTATTGTCAGAAAACTGAATCAAACGGGAAATATGGTAGATTCCTGTTGTGCCCCAGGATGCAGAACAGACGCGGACGAGATAAGGGAAGAGCCTTCTACAGGATTCCCCAAGATCCGGAACAGCGCAAACGTTGGATCATTGTAATAAAACGCGCTAGCCTCCAGGCTAAAATGAAACTGTGGGATCCCGAGAGTAAAGGTTTTCACTTATGCAGCGACCACATAATATCAGGTACTTAAACCAACGTTTCCTCAACTGTGTATGGTATTTATTTTAATTGTTTTTATTACGATTCTTAGTGGGCCTCCTAGACTTATTTTGGCGTGGCTTTTTCTGTCTCATTACTCATAGCAACAAGTAAACATCACGTAAAACGTTGCCTCGTGAGTTCTGCGTGCTGCCGTTTACGTGTTTTATGATCACAGCAATTAACCGGCTAAGCTGAATTTAATTTTTAAGCAATGGTTGATCAATTGTTAGATCACACATAAAAAGCACTTTAGAGTGCTATTATCTTTCTCACAGAGACAGATCCCAGACAGATCCTGAGACGCTCCTGCCTGACATATTTATTTTATTCACGGAAAAAAATCAAACTAGTGATTTCTCTTGGCGTTCAGTTTATACTTTCAAACAGCACAGCACTCTATTTAAATTTCTTACATGGACAGAGTAAGACGAGGGAAAATTAACAAGGAAATTATAAATGTCAGGGTATCTCAAACCCTGTAAGAGGTCCGCCCTGACAGCTTCTGGCGTTTTTAAAAAGTATCCCAGGGGCACGGTAAGGGTCGGAAATGTTTAGTCTATTTAATTTCTGACTATATAAAACGAATTTCTTTGGTTTTAAAGTGTGAAGTAAACTCAGACGGAGTAAAATCCAAGCCGATCCCGTTCATTTTGTTTACCTTTGTTGCCTGCCAACATGGCGTCTACTCTCTGAGAGTCACGTGACGTCCGGAGCTCTATAGAGCCAAATCACGACAAGAGTCGTCTCAAGGCACTTCACATGGTAAACGTTCCAATACAGGTCAGTTCTAAAAAGATAAGGTAACAGGTCAAATAGAATACAAAATAAAAGCATCAAATAGGATAGATGGATGGTTTGTTGCTAAATAATCTTTAATTTTTTAACACATGAAAGGTGTTAAAGGTGTTTTTGAGACAAGTTGCTGAAACTAAACTAAAAATACAGTTTAAGATTTTTGTCATTTTATTGGTAGAACACTGGCTCTTGAGTTCCCAGTCTTTAATGGGTTTGAGTTTGAGTTTGACCGATGTAGAGGCCATTGTTGAGTGACTTAATAAGTCCAAGAACTGAACGATAAAAGCTAAAAAATGGTAAAAAAAATGGTGTGAATAAAAATTTTTCTAAATTTCAGAACCCCCATAGAACCGATGCCAAGGCTGCTTCCACAGATTGAAAGAAAGATTTGATTCCTTAGAGGCAATAATCCAAAGAAATGAGGGTGGCTTAAGTTTTTTTTCTGCCTCATTTGACTGAACAATACTTTGTGTTATTTAAGTATTGAAGGCGTGTGGCGACTTGTCTAAAAGCAGGCAGCTGTAATCTTCTGGTTGCCCAAGATGACAGAGTAACTGTTGACATGTGGCAGAATGCTGAGAGTAAAGTTACACACACACGCGCGCGCGCACCCACTCTACAACCAATCACCTTCTCTCACTGGGTGGGCATGGCGACTGGAGATCTGTGAGTCAGGATCATCTGGAACTCGTCGGTTTTCTCAGTGTGCCGTTGTCTTTGTGTGGAACGCTTCCAACATTTTGAGTCACTGGGAATGAATTGACAAAGTTAGCTGCAGCAGTTGATTTCTAGCATTTTCTGAGTTTGATGATTGGATTTGGTCATCTTTTTCTGTCATCTTATCCAAAACAGGTTACCACAGAAATCCGACCGAATGGAAACATAACTGGAGAGGAGCCAATGAGTTTTCTTTATCTCTGAGCAAAGTGAAGATAAATACGTGGTGGGAGCGGTGGTGAGGAGGAGGAAGAGAAGGAAGGTCACCAGTAGCCTATTTTAGGTGCCTCATTAATCTGGATGGTAGATGATGGATAAAAGAGGATGATGTGGACCTGGAATGAAAGGATCCTTTGAAGTAATTATATCTAAATAACAGTAATTACTGTAGTATTCATGACTGTTGAGATTTTTAGTTGGTACAGTGAGCATTGTGGCTTTGTTGCTGGGCAGATTAAGGAAATGTTGTTCTGATTTTGGCAGAAGAAAACTTTGTGACTCATGAACCACAAAGTAAAACAGCAGACAGGCATTAACGGAAAACTGAGCGACATTTTTTAATCGACGGAGGAGGGGTGGGGGTCAGATTTCAGCTTTTCTTGCCTGTTTTTGAGGGGAGTGGAAGAAATGGACGAGAATTAAATAAAACAAAATTTACCCGAAGTAACCGGGCTGCTCTCCGGGTACTCCGGCTTCCTCCCACAGTCCAGAAACATGATTGTTAGGTTGATTGGTCTGTCTAAATTGTCCTTAGGTGAGTGAGTGAGTGTGTGTGTGTGTGTGTGTGTGTGTGTGTGTGTGTGTGTGTGTGTGCATGATTGTTTGTCCTGTGTGTCTCTGTGTTGCCCTGCAATGGACTGGCACTCTGTCCAGGGTGTACCCTGCCTGATTGCCCATTGACCGCTGGAGATAGGCACCAGTTCCCCCACGACCCTACATGGACAAGCGGGTTTGGACAATGGATGGATGGATGGATGGATGGATGGATGGATGGATGGATAACTGGGCTGATCGGTTCACAGGGAACAATAAAGGTGAAGGTTTGAGAGGAGAGAGGGGTCAGGGGACATGATGGGATGGAAGGGAGGTAAAACGGAATAGAATAAGGACCCCTACCTGTGTGTGTGTGTGTGTGTGTGTGTGTGTGTGTGTGTGTGTGTGTGTGTGTGTGTGTGTGTGTGTGTGTGTGTGTGTGTGTGTGTGTGTGTGTGTGTGTGTGTGTGTGTGTGTGTGTGTGTGTGTAGGCTCAATATAAGATCTTAGCATTTCTCACCCATCAGCACATGGCTCATTAGCCCCCCCAGCCTGAACAAATGCACACCCACTTTTAGGACTGGAAGCCGTCCTCGGAGCTCACACAGCTTCCAGGGTGGAAGCGAATGGTTCTGTTCCATAACCTGGATCTAGAAAAACAAGTTTCCCCTCAGATCTAATTTGAATGAGCTTTGGTGATGAAACTTATTTGAAACAGAATTTATTTTCCATGCATTGGCAGAGAGACATAGTGTGTTGGAAAAGGAAGGAGGAAACAAGTGTTCTGTCAGACTTTAAAAGCCCCCTCTAGTTCCCAGAGGCCTTCTAATCAAACAAAGGATGATCTGTTTTACCTCATTTTAGCGCAGTTTAAGCATAAACCACCCATCTGCCCAGCATCTTGCTGTTTGCACATGTATCATTTTGGACCAAAATGATACATGTGTGTGTTTAAAGGCCAGCTAAAGGATTTTACAATAAATAAATGTGCTCAGATTACTTCAGGGAAGCAGAGCTGAGGTGTAACTCTTTTCCAAGGTTCAGATTTCCCTGACAAAACAGCAAACTGCCGCAGCGTTAAGCCTTTGGTCAAAGCTGCCTCTCCTTGGTAAGAGGTTCTAAAGTTGCTGTAAAACTGTAACAGAACCAAAAACACGCAGACACGCTTCATAAATCAGTGGAAACGGGTCAGACTTTAACTGTTTGTAAAGCTCCTAAATGCCAGCTTTTATCACTATTCTAGACAATTCCATATAAGTGCATTGAGAAAAATGTTGGTGCAGAACGTGTGTGTGTGTGTGTGTGTGTGTGTGTGTGTGCGCTCCCATATGCAGCTGGCTCTTGGGGATTATTAGCTCATTTATCTGACTGAACCTCATTTGCGATTAATTCGGTTGTTTAGTTTTAAAAACTTGGAGTAAAAAAATTGTTCAAAGCTTTTTTTGCTTTAATTTTCAAGACTAGAGAGCTTGCAGTTTAAGTATTTTATGAACAACCTGAAAGACAGTTTTATAGCTGCAACGAGTTTTCTCAGGATGGAAAATAACCTCCAGCCGCTCCACAGACAGCTTGGAGGTCGGAATAGATTGGAGGCTAATATTTATAATGAGGCAATTACATTTTTTATTTACAAAGCCACAAATCACAGTGCAAATCATCCAAAGGCACAACAAGGTCAAAATTCAATACAAATAATGCGTTTCCTAATGCTGTTTTGCTGTAAAAGTGAAAGCTGTGTGGAAATGAAAACCTTTGTGTCAGAGCTGGTGGACTAATCCACTGGTAGTGGATTAGATGAAAAACTTTAGTTAGCTTTTATTGTGGGTCATCTGGAGAATAAAAAAGGATGTAGGGCAATCAGGTCCATTCTCACTCCTTTGCTGTCTTCACCGTTCTTCAGCTGCTCCTCTCTCCTTCTCGGCCAAGTGTCAGCAACCAGCTGTGAGCTGCAGAGGAAGGGAGACAGGGAAGCAGGCACTTCCTCAAATGTAAACCATCCCCGTCTTCATCCACTCACGTTACTTTATGGTTTATGTGTTTTTCTCAATAGCAGGGCTCCCCCTGACATTTAAAAACCTGAGGTCAGGCCATCCTGCCTTTTAGATTTTCATTAGTATGGGTTAGAATGGCATTTTGAAGTGTCACCTGACCCCAGCTCCAGGTCATGTTGTGTGTTTGAAAGGAGTTAGTGTAATCACGTTGGTGCAGAGTCACTCAAACCCAGTTTGAATACGACGTCTAGCTCAGGCCTTCCACCCACGGGAGTGCAGCATTTTATCACTCCCAGATAACTCAGACATGATGGCTTTAAAGGGTTGAAAACATGTGCCAAGGGTTTGGTTGTGTGGCTGACTGTGTGGAAAGAAGACACTGACCTTTTACCCTCCCACTCTGTGTGTATTCAGAAAAACTAGAAGTGAGCGTGTTCATGAGCCCAGACGCACGTGTGTGAGTGTGTTTATGTGTGTGTGTGTGAGTGTGTTTATGTGTGTGTGTGTGTGCGTGCGTGCGTGTGTGTGTGTGTGTGTGCACATGCTCGCATCAGTGTGACGAATATGCTGAAGTGTTTTGGCACCTTCTTCTAAATAAAGTCATGCAGCAAATTAGGGAAGCTGAGAGTGAAGGAGAGCTAGATGAACGATGGTGCAGAAAGTTCTTGTGTGTGTGTGTGTGTGTGTGTGTGTGTGTGTGTGTGTGTGTGTGTGTGTGTGTGTGTGTGTGTGTGTGTGTGTGTGTGTGTGTGTGTGTGTGTGTGTGCGTGCACGGCTGAACGTGTGTATGCGTGCGTGCATGGAGGCTTCTTGTCTCTCTTAATGGAACAGAGGGTGGGTATGTGTGGGTGTGTGTGTGTGTGTGTGTGTGTGTGTGTACATGCGTGCGCTGAATGTTTTATTGCAATAAAGTCTAGGTTTAATTGGAGCCAGTGTGCATGTACAGGTCCTTCTCAAAAATTAGCATATTGTGATAAAGTTCATTATTGTCTGTAATGTACTGATAAACATTAGACTTTCATATGTATTAGATTCATTACACACAACTGAAGTAGTTTAAGCATTTTATTCTTTCTAATATTGATGATTCTGGCATACAGTTCATGAAAACCCAAAATTCCTATCTCAAAAAAATAGCATATCATGAAAAGGTTCTCTAAACGAGCTATTAACCTAATCATCTGAATTAACTAATGAACTCTAAACACCTGCAAAAGATTCATGAGGCGTTTAAAAGTTCCCAGCCTTGTTCTTTACTCAAAACAGCAATCATGGGTATGACTGCTGTCCAGAAGGCCATCATTGACACCCTCAAGCAAGAGGGTAAAACACAGAAAGAAATTTCTGAACGAATAGGCCGTTCCCAGAGTGCTGTATCATGGCACCTCAGTGGGAAGTCTGTGGGAAGGAAAAAGTGTGGCAGGAAACGCTGCACAACGAGAAGAGGTGACCGGACCCTGAGCCTACAGATTGTGGAGAAGGACCCATTCCAGACCTTGGGAGACCTGCAGAAGCAGTGGACTGAGTCTGGAGTGGAAACATCCAGAGCCACCGTGTACAGTCGTGTGCAGGAACTGGGCTACAGGTGCTGCATTCCCCAGGTCAAGCCACTTTTGAACCAAAAACAGCGGCAGAAGCGCCTGACCTGGGCTACAGAGAAGCAGCACTGGACTGTTGCTCAGTGGTCCAAAGTACTTTTTTCAGATGAAAGCAAACTTTGCACGTCATTCAGAAATCAAGGTGCCAGAGTCTGGAGGAAGACTGGGCAGAGGGAAATGCCAAAATGCCTGAAGTCCAGTGTCAAGTACCCACAGTCAGTGATGGTCTGGGGAGCCATGTCAGCTGCTGGTGTTGGTCCACTGTGTTTTATCAAGGGCAGGGTCAATGCAGCTAGCTATCAGGAGATTTTGGAGCACTTCATGCTTCCATCTGCTGAAAAGCTTTATGGAGATGAATATTTCATTTTTCAGCACGACCTGGCACCTGCTCACAGCGCCAAAACCACTGGTAAATGGTTTACTCACCATTTTATTACTGTGCTCAGTTGGCCTGCCAACTCTCCTGACCTGAACCCCATAGAGAGTCTGTGGGATATTGTGAAGAGAAAGTTGGGAGACGCAAGACCCAACACTCTGGATGAGCTTAAGGCCGCTATCGAAGCATCCTGGGCCTCCATAACACCTCAGCAGTGCCACAGGCTGATTGCCTCCATGCCACGCCGCACTGAAGCAGTCATTTCTGCAAAAGGATTCCCGACCAAGTATTGAGTGCATAACTTAACATAATTAATTAAAGGTTGACTTTTTTGTATTAAAAACACTTTTCTTTTATTGGTCAGATGAAATATGCTAATTTTTGAGATAGGAATTTTGGGTTTTCATGAGATGTATGCCAAAATCATCAATATTAGAAACAATAAAAGGCTTGAACTACTTAAGTTGTGTGTAATGAATCTAATATATATGAAAGTCTAATGTTTATCAGTACATTACAGACAATAATGAACTTAATCACAATATGCTTATTTTTGAGAAGGACCTGTATGTGTGTGTTGACTCATGGAAAGGCGGTGCATACTTGATATGTGAGTGTGTGTGTGTGTGTGTGTGTGTGTGTGTGTGTGTGTGTGTGTGTGTGTGTGTGTGTGTGTGTGTGTGTGTGTGTGTGTGTGTGTGTGTGTGTGTGTGTGTGTACATGGTTAGTTGAGGACAATAAATGCATCGGTCAGATGTCAGATGACTTGACTGGTGAGTTGGTATCCTGTTCCTTGATCTACCTCCCAGTCATGAGCACTTAGATTCCAGCTGCAGAGCAAGTTCTGTTCAACCAATTACAAATGCATGGCTGATTAGGGCAAAGAGGGTTATGTTTTTCTGTTTATTGCCAGAGAGCTTTTAAACAATACTGGCATTGTGAGAGTAATCACTTCCTGGAAATCCAGAGCCGCGATTGGCTGACAGCTGCAGATCAGAAACAGGCGATTGAGTCACGTTGCTGTTTGACTGAAATCTCAGATAAGACTCTGACCCATCAGATAGAAACTTCATACACCACGTGATGCACCAGTAAAAGCTTCTAACTGTCGTTACTCTCTTATTCTGATCAGAATTAGGTTCTTTACTTTCTGTGCTTGAATTTCTCAACATTAAGTGATTTTCAAAAAAAGCACTAATCTAATGAGTTTCCTTCTGTCTGATGTAAACGTGATATTTGGTAAATTTGATTATTATCATTCCTACTT